TGTACAAAGTGATATGCTGTACAAATATACCCTACAAAAAACAAATTCCATTTCCGCCATCAGTCCGTTTTGGCGTGCTTTGAATTTAATCGCTCACCGTGATCTGACCTTTTGCCGCTACGCCGACCTTGCATTATCCCGAAATACGTAGGCCGGTTAGTGCCATCGCTATTTTATTCTCAAGAGCAGCTATTTTGTGCTAAAGAGCAGTGTTTTTTCAAGAGAACCTGTTTTGTTTCAAGAGCAGCTGATTTTTAAAATTGATCTTTACAAAAAAAGCTTTGTCCACTTGGTTCTTGGCTTGTTTTATGTACATTATTAAAGACCTTATAGCGAAAAGCCGACTAGCCAAATCCATATCCTGTTTCATAAAGGCTACCGGTATGGAACACGCGGTCTATTTTTTTATTTTAGTAACTTTCGGTTTTTACCGCAATTTTATTTTCAAGAGCAGTTTTGTCCCGAGCAGCTTTTTAAATATTTTTTTCAGAGTGACTTAAAAAATATTTTCCTGGACAGCTATTTATTTTTTTCAGAGTGGCTCTTTCTGAGAGCAGCTCTTGAAAATAAAAACATAAATGTTCCGGAGAAATATGAAAAGCTATACTTTCGAAAATGTAAGTAATCTGCTCAAGTTGAAAATAAAGATGGCTGCTCTTGAAAAAAGAACGACCTGCTCTTGGAAATAAATTAACAATCCAATGGCACTAACCTGCATGCTTTTGCAGTGAAAATACTTCTTGCCATTGTCTTCATTTTGACGTCTCATCCTTTCGTCCAAACAATAATGACTTGCGATCATTTTATTAAAAAATCACTCAAATTTCAAAAGGCAAACGAGATATGTAAGTTTGCAGAAATGTAGTATCCTTCCATGCAGTGACAATCTTTAATAATAGTCTATTCAAGAGCGATTGAGTGTTGTTATGAAATAACTGATAATTGTGACTTGTTGCAGACGACTGACTGATGGCGGACTCGGTAACAAAGCCGTCATGGTGCACACACCCATATTTACATGTAGCGTGTGCATATAATCTGATAATAGGAGGCTAAAACCGCATGTTAATGCAGTTGGCGGATCAGCAATGATCCTTGTGTTAGTTTTAGAGCGCCTTTTGTAACAGTTAACCCTGACACGCAACAGCGACATAATACATCAAATACAAGAAGGATCTTGAAAAGGTCGAGCTTGACCAAAATGTTACCTTACGATCCAAGTGTCTCCCGCGAAGATTACTTCAAAATGTTCGTCACAAACGGATGAGTTTGGTCAGTACTCCGTTTGGTATTACCCTCTAGCTGATGTCAGATTGTTCGAACCGTCTCACGAACAGCAGGGATGGACTTGCCTATTTTAGCCAGTGATCCGTCAGCTTCAAACACTGATAGCCGAACCGTCAAGAGATAAACCAAATAACAACTATGATAACCAAATCTTTGCTCCTCACGTGGCCCATTAAAACGCCGTTATTTAAGTTAATTATAGCTCATGCAGCTAGCCCTGTAACACCTACAACACTTAGCCTATCCCTGTTTTAAAGTAAAAGTTGCTAAAACTTTGAATCCTTTGTCACTGTTGAATTTGTTTCATAAGATATAGAGGACGACAGCCCAACACTAACACCGCGGCAACCGAATAAAACTAACATCCCGACACCATTGAGTTTTTGTGGGACAGCTTATGCGTGCTTTCGTAAACAAGACAAATCCAATTCATGTAGCTGACTCAGCTGAAGTGCGCAATATTACGGGAGTCAGTCGAATACTGAGAATGCGTCGTGTATACCAACCAGCTTTTTGAAATGCTCGATCTGGTCATTTCATATTGTCATTGACCAGTTCTAGGCTTCTGCTGGTCTTTTCTTTAGATTGCTTAGTTTATTTTTTTTTCTTTTTAAGGGGCATCCCACAAGGTCCAAGAAATAAGACTCACGGAGTTTAAATTACCATTAGTGATCCAGCTGGTATCATCACAATCCAAACACTGGAGGTACAGGTAGGCAGACACTACAGACACTACCCCAGCGGCGTATCCAGCTTTTATTTTCGGGGGACGAGCAAATTCAAAACTGAATGCAGCTTCGGGCTCATTCAACATGATTTCAGAGAAAACAAAACCAAAAGCCTTACTCACGGTCCAACATCCTTGCTTTTATTTGCTGGTATTTTCTTCGGGTTTTGTGCTACATGTAATTATTTGATAATATATACTGATTACTACTCACCTTTGAAGTATTCTTTGTAAAAAAAAAAGAGTGGGGGGGGTTGACAAGTTGTCCCTTTCTCCCCGTTAGATACTCCACAACACTAGCCACATCAGTGCTGCCAGACCAGCACTTGCGTACAATATGTAAATTCTACAAGAACCAATGGCTTTCAGTTTTGTAGCTGTTTTAGTATAATAGCCTCTGCAGGAAGGGATTATTAAATTTAATGGCTTGATTAATCCAAGTTTCTTTTAGGTTATATTGTGAGTGTTCTTTCCTTTGATTTTGAAGTAAACTTTTCTTTCATATTCCTGGAACGGAAGTTGGCCAGGACTTCCACCGAAGATGCAAACTACCAAGAAAGTGCTCCTGACTTATTATGTAAAACAGATGACTCTGACAAGATGCGTGATGAACGCTGTGCAAGTGGCGCTATCTGATGCCAAACTGTGAAGGAAACGAAAAAGACAAAAAGATCATGTGCGTCAAATCCCGGGGATGTAGGTACCCCTCCACTTTAAGGGATGGACGGAAAAAATAAGAAGGACTGTGAAGAAGTGTTCGCACCTGCCAACAACCAAGTTATATTCAAGAACAATCAAAAGGGAGACCAATAAGAAGCCATAATTTTGCCGTTCTGATGTAAGATTCTGCAGGAAGGTATACATATCACAGATGTACATCTGTATCATAAATATTGCTCTCAAAATAATGTCATATGGTGTCAGCATCCCCCCTCTTGCAAATTTCCCTGGCCGGGCAAGTCATCCCCTCCACCCACAATTTCCCAAATCCCTATTCCCCAATTTCCAGCACACATTCTACGCCAAAGGCTGCATGTTTATGGCCAATATTCCTGAGGAGCGCGGCGCTCACAGCAGCACTTAGTCTTGTGCGGAACACTGGAACATGTTGGACTGCGAGCACGTGACCTCTCATGCGGACACAGGCGATGTTAACGCCGGTTCATGCTGCAGGCAAATGCGAAAGTGAAGCGAATATCGACATCACGAACGGTTTGCAGCGAAATTTCGCTGGAGTTGAAATGTGTTCAACGTTTACGAATTCGCAACGCGAATATTTCATCTGCCCTGACAAATTCGCGTTTGTATTTGCTTTCACACGAACCGTGAGCGGGCCTTTACCCTATTTTTTGTCAACGGGGCTGGTTCGTAAAGGTTTCAATTTGGCAGTTTAACTTATTGACAGTTGATGAGATAATTATTAGATGCCTATCGGAGTAATCTGGATGAACCACAGAGATTTGTAATAAAAGCCTTAAAAAGGTTTGAGCCATAATAATAATACTTGAACTCACGACGGAATGATCCAGCTAAAGACATGCTCAGGTTATTCCTTGGCCACTATCTCGTTTTTTACGCCAGAGCAGAATAAATTTTATCCCCTCAAGCAGATTTCCACCAACAGGGGGCCAGTATGCCAAATCCAGTCAAAAGCACCCTTAAGGTCCAATGCAGGAACACGTGCTTCTAAGTTATGAATCTAGGTTGAATGCCACCGGTGAGAAAGATACTCAAGGAGAGAGGCAAAATGATTCAGATGGAAGCCTAATTGACGGGCAAAGATGAGGTCCTTCCGCAGGAGGTGCTTACCAAGTGCTAGGTTCACTGTGGCCGTTGTTACGGTGACCTTGCTGAGAATGCATGAAAGTGAGACACGGCAGTGGTTATGAGGAGAGCTTCGGGATTTTCGTTTGTTATCAGGCAGGACACTGGCTACCCTCCACAGTTCGACCGAAAAATCGCTCATGTTCAAGGCAGAAACGGTGCAAAAGGGACTACTATCAGCAGGACGGTTGCCTTGATGACTGGCACACGTCTGGACTGGAGATGCAGTCAATGAAGTCCAGTTGCCTTCTATTCACGTCTAGGTTTGATCGCTTGATGTCCCTTGGCCTAAACTTCATTTGCCAGAGTGTTTCCTCGGTTTTAGGAGGCTTATCTGGAGCTGGGCCATCATTGTCTCACTTCTTGGCGAGGATGTATGGAAGCAAACAGTTCGGCTTTCTCAACAGATGTTAAGTACTCACATCCCTCATGTTTGAGTCTTGGGTTATCAGAAGAGCCTCCGTGATCGATCAGCTTTTGTACACTCCACCACCAGTCTGAGTCTCAAAGTGAGTTGGTAAAGACGGTGCTTCAATCGGATCATACGATGCCACTAAAAAAAAGCCTTTCTGGTGACGCACTGCGCGTCAGCAAGTCAGCACGATGAGCAGACTTGATAGCGGCATTCTATCTATCCTTCCGAGAGGCAGTGGCTGTCTCTCCATGCAATGAAGGACAAAGAAGCAACGATTATCAGCAGGGGCGGATCCAGAATTTTTTTCAAAAATAGGGGGGAGAGAATCTATTGTTCGGTTTTTTGCAACTAGCCGAAAAAAAAATTAGGGTCACGGCCGATTAGTGAGGTTGGGTAACCAGAAGCAGAACTGTTGTTTTTGACGCGTTTTTTGTCACAATTATGAGGCTGGGTCCCTCCCTCATTTATCTTTCGCCTCCCTCTTCTTCTCATTTTATTTATTCATTGATAACAAAAGGGGGCGTGCGCCCCCACGCCCCCTGGATCCGCCCCCTGATCAGAAGATCTCGCACTTGCATCTGTGAGGATTAAATAAAACCTCTAAATCAAACACTTGTGCATTTGGAATATCACATTGTGCTATCCTTTTCTTTCATTGTTAATTTGAGACTCCCTTATCTTATGGTTGAAATTCCCTAGTCCCAAATTAGGAAAAAGAAAGTTGTGCATTTTTTGAAATAAAAGGGATTTGACAGGATTTTATTCTTTATTATTTCATCAAGTCACAATACTTCAGCATAACTTGCTGTATTACATTACATGTACACTGATTTTTAAGACGAGTACACAACAGGTAACCCAGACGATATCCATATGTAAAACTCTATAAAATGGAAAAAGATGATTTCTAATGACTGATAATGAACTGACAGATTATTATTATTATTTTTTTTACAGTACTTTGTTCAGCGGATAAGTGCATTCGAGACCATACATACTTTCACACTGGAACGTTAAATATTGGAAGAAAAATGCCTGGGGTATCTATCTACCTATGGGCCGAATTCACAGAGTCGTGTTGAGAGCATGCCAAGCAATGGTCGAAAGGAATGCCTTCTGACACTGGATTACTAACCAGTCTGTTTTCGGTTCATTTCATGAAGCACTCAAATTTGATCATACTGCTTAGCTGAAATGCTAAGCGTAGAAACACCATGCTCAGTAGAAAGGTTATTTACCGACCGACTGTACATGTATATGTGTGCCTGCGGTGGCGTCTGTTTTAGAAATATGTATCAGGAAAGCGCATAACACTTGTTTAGCTTGCTATTCATTTTTTTAACAGAGAAGTTTCCCGAAGTGGATCTAGGGATTTGCTAAGATAAAAATGACATGACTCTCAACATTGTTAACCGAGGGACTATCTGTGATCTGTCAATATGTCTTGGTGTTTCTGTGGCTTGACATGTTCTTAAGAACAAAATAATGGTTATTTTAATTCACAATCTAACAGGCTATTCACAGCTGAAATTACCAACCAAATTATTGGCAAAATCAGCAAAGTTTCCAGACATAATTCGGTGCTATTATGCTTGACTAAAGAAAACCGACATTTTGCATGAAACAAAACCCCTGCCGAAATAGTTCAACACCTAGCACCATTTACTGTCAATTGACCCAACAACCAAATATAATTTGAAAGATGAACAACAAATTATTTTTCCAAATATTACTACTTTCCACCCAGCTGGACTTATGTGGTTAAGAGATAAGTTTGCAAAAGTCATACATGTATTTCTCTCGAATTTTTGGTGTCTATTCTATTCCATCAAACCCCAAACATTTTACACACACATGCACCAATAATCCTCTCATAGCTCAATTCATATTATTGTCTGAGCCAAGTGTGAGGTTTTTCCACCGAAACCTCCATTTTAGAGAGGTTATAAACCACCAAAGCAAAGATCACAATAGCTTCAGGAACCCAAATCTGAAGAACATGTGGAGTTTGATACACTAGGATATACATGTGGAGATGCATTGGTGTAGTGGGACTGTAAATACCCTCACAGTCTGCACATTTCATTAGATAAGGTTAGCTTTACCTCTTCTGCAAACCATTAGAATCCCAATGCTCCAAAATCCTTCAAAATCTGTCAGGTTGTTTAAGTTTTGGGGAGGATTTTACATGATTCAGGAAGGAGCAACCAAGCAGCTATTACTTTCCAAAAGGTTTGATCTACTTTGGAAGTTACAGTACAGCGAATTCGCTCTTGGTTTCCCAAACGGTAGTAGATGTCAAAGGATTCAGAAAGGTTCTCAGAGGAAATGTCCAGGATCTTGAGGTTGATTAGCCTAATGAAATCCTGTCTCCGTTATCATCCTCAAGAGCTATATATACATCTGTACACCCTATCCTAAATACATAAAAATATCAACTGATAATGGTCACACTTTCAGCAAAGTGTTTGGAATAACACAATGTTTCAAGATTGCTTCTTCTGCATGTCAACTACGAGGCAAGGTGATCTTTCGAAAGAAACGGGAAAAATTTGTATGAGATTTTTATACACACTCACTCATGTAATATAACACAGTAATTTTGTATAACACTATATAATTGTCGATATCGTCGTAAGCTCGGGAAAGTGAGATACTGTGTTTCAAAGATATGAGAGATCACTTCGACTCTTGGCTTGAGCAAATGGCAACATTAGTTCAAAACCTTGATTTCATTGCTAATCTTCCCAGGATATTCATCAACAGCACAGCAAGTCTAGAATATGCGATACAAAAACCGTAAACCCTTGTACATGAAGTAGACGGCACCAAGCGCGCAGAATAGCAACTCCCGTCGGTCCCGGCGGACGCTAGACTCTTCTAGGGTCGTGACCTTCCGTGTGAGCAGGTGGAGGTGGCGCTGTAGGGCCTGCATGTCCAGGGCAGGGCCACCTTCAGCGAGGGCGGAGTTGCCGAGGAGCTTAGCGGGGCCTGTGGGAGTTTCGTCCAGGCTGCCGCAGTACAGTGGACAGGAGAAAAAAAGATTTCCACATTGTCAAGAATCAGGACAAAGAGAAAAACGAAAACGAAAAATAAACCTGTATTCAACTGTATCTCTATGACCACTTTGAGCTGTCGGATGTGGAAGCATGATGTTGCTGTCCATACTCACAGATACAGCTGACTGGTGAAGGTGACACGCCAAGCCTGCCTCAATTCAGCTAGGACCCCCCTCCCCATTTATTTTGCACATGCATGAAGTTCACCACCTCGAGCAGAACCACCCCCTCATCAAGAGCAATATTGGTCAGGAGTATTCATTTTGTTGGTCACTGGTTGTGACTGTACTGCAACACTTGCATTTCCTAGCCATTTGTGATCCAGCGGTGCGCAGTTAGTACCAAAGGGGCCTCTGTTGCTTAGGAAATAGTGCCCTTACTTGGTCCAGCTCGAGATCCATTAAATTCTGTGGAAGTGGACTTTGTGCGTAACTGTGCACTGTCTGTGGTGGTGATATCAAATAATCATTGCTCCATAGGTGTACCCCGGGTGTTGAAAGACTTTGGGGAATATACCGTTCAAATGACTCTTGCCAATCCGCCTTTGTGCTGTTTGGCTATTTATCAGAAGTTGGCAGCTACATCTTGCCTTTTTCTGAAGTCAAACTTTTCGGCCAAAAATGATTTTGTTAGCACGTGGATAAGAAAATGGACGGAGACTGGGGAGAACAGATTTGGAAGGGCGGGGCAGAAGGAAATGACAGGACTAGGAGATAGGAAAATCAAATGTTTCCACATACTTTGCCAGTCTTTGCTGGTTCACGTTGCCCTTGTTTGGCTTCATCACACTCTGATCTCCGACGGTTGGGAACCGGACGTCCTCCATTTTCAGTATGTGTGGTGGTGTGGTCAGGCCAACCACTGTGTCAGCTGTGATTCGGCAATAAAAGAAACTCCTAGGGTAAGTGCTGATGTACAGCTGAATGTGTAAATCAACACTGATCAACCACTTAAGAATGGTGAGAAAGTTTTGACTTATGACATGGTTTTAGTGTGTCCCTGTTATTAATTTCTCCGCTGAAAATAAGCGAAAAAGACCTGATTACTTGGAAGGGTAGAAACAATTTATCATACCGTGCGCTTTCAAGAAGTTGCCATGGAAAGGTGCGTTTTGCAGTGAATTATGGGTAAAACAGTCGACGAAGAAGGTTTGACACAATTTTTGAAGCAATTAAAGAGGCAATTTGACATACCTGTGGGGAAAGGTGTCATTTCCTCCAGATCCAAATGTCTGGGTGTTTGCCTGGAGCCGATGTGTGTATCAGAGCCTTGTAAAGAAACAGGGAAAGAACTTAAGCCATCTGGAAAATGTTGGATGTGACGTCAGCCACTTGGTCCTGAATTTCAGAATCTACATTGGGCAAGAGTTCCATCCTTTCCTGCACTCACTGTATAAACTTAACACTGGCTGTCAAGTTGCACCCAGATAGCAAGCATAAATCTGCTCCGAGTGAGTTCAAGACATGGCCGGAGGGTCTCCACTCAGGACGCTAAATCCGCGAGACTGAAACCTGAAGCTGGAGATGGAACTAAAATGAGGTTTGGAAAAACTGTAAACAAACCAAACTCTGGCCTCACCTGCCACCATAATGCGTTCCGGTACGTTCATTGCGTGGGCAGGGCTATTGGTTACGTAATCTAGATCTGGGCTCCCAGAGTCCGTGTAGGATGTGTCTTCTGGCTGGCCCATACTTAATCTTGTTGGTATCTACAATGAGGAGAAAAAAGTGGAGAAAGAGCAAATCGGATTATCCATCACAGGAGAGGTATGAGGCAAGCATTTCAGACATCATTGATTTAAATTGGTTTATTTTGTCTCACACTTTAACCCTAACCCCCTCGGCCTTTTTGCTAGGCACCGTTCTCAATCCTTCAAAATCCTCCGATTGTCTGTGCAAAAACACTGCGTTCTGCCTCAATCCTCCAAAATCTTCTAATACTTCTTGAATATGCCCCTTTAAAGGGTGCCCACTTCCTCAATCCTCCAAAATCCTCCGGCAACTCCTTTTATGGAGGATTTCAAATAATGTAGGCATGAGTTTATGATATGGATGAGCATAAACAGCACATGGTCTAACCCGCAACGTTGACACAACGCATACTTCGCAATCTGTCACACATTTCGCCATTCTTCCTGAATCCTCCAAAACTCAGTCGTCCAGAATCACCCAGAGCATTTTGGAGGATTGAGGAGGGTTAGGGTAAAGGAAACCAAGGGTTAGCGATGGTCCCTGTAATTCACCTGACAGTCAACCACACAAATTTCTGTCAGTTCCACTGAGCGCCAGTTATCCCATCTACTCAGTAAAAGGACAGAATCCACGTGATTGGTGCTACAGATTACCAAAATTAGCCCTTGTATCAAACTCCTTGAATGACTGGCCAACTGCACGAACTCATTCCTCTTTGGTCGGTTGAGACCAGCAGTGGATAAGTTGACAGCATTTATTCTGCCTGGGAAGCAACTGTCCGGCTTTCGTACAATTGAGTATGTGGCAAAAGGTGCACTGTGGAGCATTTAGGCCAATGTCTGCGCACACTCACTGATATTTACCCACATATTATCAGTCAATGAGCATCACATCACAGTTAGCTCACGTTATTGTAGCAATCATCAGATTGCATGATCCATGTCCAACACCACAATCCTTCCTCAATCAAACCATGTGTCTCTCCATGTCTCCTAACCTCACCTGCATTTTGCTGTTGATGTCGGTACTGTACTCGGTGCTGTAATGCATCTGCTGGAGGTCATCCATCTCCTGCTCCATCTGGTTGATGATGGAATCGGCACCAGTGCTTCCCATTGCCTTGAGTCAGCACGCTGCTAGACCCACCCACACACACAAAAACCTTGGTGAGTTTGGTATTCTAACACCACATGCTTGTAAAGAGCGTCAGTTACTCAACATCAACACATGCGCATGCTGTCGGCCCTTTCAGTATGCTCGTCCGTGCTAACTCAGGTGCTTTGTTTGTGAATGACCTTGCCCTCTTGAAACACCAATCTGGCTCATTGTCTAAGACTGAAATTTCAACATTTCACGTCACTGTGCAGCTGCTAGTCACGATCTGTTGACCGCTGTGATATTGGTTGATCTTACACACATTCGTCATCGTAGCATGAGCTGTAGATTTTTTTGCAAACAGCTGGTCACGTTTTCTTCGTGTTTGTGGACGAATGTTTTGAGAGGTAATAGTATATGTATAGCGTGGCGCAATCAACTGACCACACAGAATGACCAACTGTGCCCAACACCACTGACCGTGTACAGCCACAGCGACAAAGCATTAAACAAAAGCCATCATAAACTTTCAGCTGGTGGTCTCTTACACATGTACATTACATTTGGAAGGTTTGCAAAATGTACAGTAAACTGCACAAACTCCATAACATTAAAAGTAACATCCAAAATGTTTGCCAATTTCAGGAAAATCATCCATCGAGGGAAAATTTCATTTTTCCATCCAGTGTGCAGAGCTTACAAGGTCCCATGTTGACCGGTACAAATATTGATTAACGTGCTACCAGTATCACTACTGTATAAGCCAATTCCCCGTTTTGTCGCCATGTTGACTTTAGCACCCCCCGCATGACTAAGTGAACAAAGCACCACGCCGACTTATTCCTGAGCACCGTATGTGCGGTAGCTGTGATCACATCGAAACTGTACCCAGGACACTGTGCCACTCAGGAATCAGTTGTCGGTGCCAGTGTGCTGACAGAGCGTGCGTTTTGCGAATGATCTGCTAGAGGCCAGTGTGCCGTGACGTTAACATACAGTCACCAGGACATTAACATACAGTTCAAATCGTTATATGAACAAGATTGCGACATCGCACTCAATGACATGACGATTTCCGATTTAAAGGGGAAGTTTCTCTTTTCTTCCCAAATGTGAGTAACCCTTATCATTATTGGAATCTAGGATTATCACTTGACCCTAAGCTGGGCGCATTAGACAGTTTACGGAACCATTTTGGAGATAATTCAGAGGATTCTGATTCGGGGTACAAGCTATTTTGAGTGAAATGAATTAATGGAAGCAAAAGCCAATGGAAGGTACTGGACCTTACTATTGCCCAACCATGTCCAAATGTTAAAAAGCTAAAAAAAGGCAATTTGTATGGTCCAAGTTACTAGGACTACAGACTGGAGTAGCCAAGGCCTCTAAACAAACAGACAAAAAGTTTCTCTAGAGAAAATGCTGAAGACAAACATGTTAACAGGTCGGGGACCAAACCACAATCTAGCGACGTCCCCATTTTCTGCTCATGTTGCTTGTTCTGGCGGTAATGAAGTCATTTTTATCATGTCACGTGATAATTATTTTATTTTCCCACGATTTTGGGGAAACATTTTCATGCATTAAGTAAATTTCTGCGAAGCTTTATTTTTTCCCGTAAACGTTTTCATCGGCAGAATGAACTTGCCTACCCATTGAATTCAACACCTCCAGTGCACAATTCAACAAAAAAATGTCCTCAATTCGCTTTCAGAGATACATGTACGTCTACCAAACGAAAGGAAAGTTTGTGGCATGTTTCCTGTAAAACTGACCAATTAGAGCAATTTGTATTGAAGTTTTTGGCCCATAAAGAGATCAATATCACCTGTGAACCGTGATCTAAAAACAGCTCAAACATTACATCATCGTTGCACAATTGCAATCGAGCGGCGTATGCAAATAGAGCATGCATATAGCATTTTCGAAATGAGTGAATTCGGCTTAGACTTCAGTTTTGTGGCTTGAACATGTGGTTTCGAACCCTGCTTCAAAATGGCTAGAACCATCAAAAACCAAGTCTAAGCCGAATCACCACGTCCACTTGTTTCGAAAACACTCAGTCTGGTATTGTTGCTAGATTGTGGTTTGGACCCCGATTTGGTGTATATAAAAAATTATATATAATATGAAATTTTTAACTTGGCTGAATGTAGCCCAAAACGTAGCCGCTGTCTGCAACAGTCTGATTAAATGATCTTGGATCCAAAGCAAAACTAAGTACGAAAAGAGTTCAAAATACAGACAGCAGCCAGACTCCACGCAATACTTTTCTTTGGTGCTTTGTACGGGCTCTGACTAATCTCACTTCCCAAACATTGCCTAATGAGTAACGTTAACGGCAATGTCTTTCACTAGACAATTTGTTCGAGACAGCGCACACCGATTCAGTATTGTATGGCATTTAAAATTAACCAATGTACTTTTGTTAACATACAAATGTAAGAACCTAAATATATCAAATTAACACTGGAAAACTCCACAGCTTTACCCGATCCACTCCGCTTCGGCGCTAGTTCGCAAACTTCCGACCGTGCACTACATACATATACAGTATAATAGATCAGAACCCAGTTTCTAAAAAAAAAAATTCCACCGAATTAAAGACCGCAGAAGTGACTCTTCAAACTAAGCAATTTAACGACACGAAGAAGAAATTATAATAAATTTGTTCTGAGATCAACTTGCCCAAATTTTAAAAAGAAGGTAAAACCTGTGACACTTGACAGAAATTGCTGTCGATCTAGGTAGTTCTACCGTGACCTGTGACCTAATCAGCATATGTAGGTCGCGCTATGCATGCGCATATGCTCCATTAACTTACGCGAAAGTCGGAGAAGGAGCCGGAGGTGTGCCGAAATGCAAAGGTCTGGCCTTATTTTTCGGGCCTGTTTCAGAGCCCAGACTCTGTGCAGGGCGCCAAAAATCAGTTCAGGGAGAGTTTTCTTTGCCAGGGCCATACACACATGCAGAGCAGCATCAAGGTTGGTTATTTTTAATTGAAATTCACAGGCGTAGGCTACATGATCATGATGTAGGCCCCCCGGCCTAGGCCTGCTGATTCATTTGGAAATTGTTTTCTACCGGTAGGCCTCACTAGCCCAGGTAGGACGTCGTCTACATTGCATTGCGACTTACGTCCAGTGTGTGAAACTCCTCCTACTATGCGAAATTTTTTCAACCGTTTTTTCTCACATTTTTACTTGCATAGTAGGAGGACTTTCATACCCTGGACGTTAGTCACAATGCAATGTAGACGCCATCCAACCTGGGCTAAGACTTCACCACCATGACGACTGCTGATACTTGATACGTCTCTTGACACATGCATGACACATGCCGGATGTGCAACAGGTACAAAGTACCATAGTGCATGTGGTCGCGCTCAAATGATACGTGTAGAGACAGTATGCAGTTGAGAAATCGTATTGCCTGATGTCTGTACAGCCAAAATTAGGGTCCGATTGAGCCGGAAGAATCTTCTTTTTTTTCCCATGTTGATCATTATTAGATAAGACTAAAGGCATGAACTTTATGAAGGGAAAACTCTGTTTTATAATATAAGGCCACTCTCATTTGGCCTACAACTTGTACGGATGGCCAAAATTTGTAGAATCATCACCTCTTGATTGGTTTTTTAATTTACCTCAAGTTCGTTCACAATTGACATTTGTCCAATAATTTAAAAAACAGGGTGGTATTTTCATTAACCCTAACCCTCCTCAATCCTTCACCTGTTGGAGGATTGAGGAGGGTTAGGGTTAAGTAGGCCCCTAGGACTTATTTACCATGATTTACAAAAATTTTCCAGTAGGCCTACTTGTATTACTTTTTGTTGTTCTGAGAGCCACCTGGGATTTTTAACACTTTCTGCATTATTGTTTTACTTTTGTACTCATGACTAGCCGTACATGTAGTTTCAGCAGCAACTCGTGGGAAAAACACGACTTTGACGTCAACAGAGTAGGTCCGATTGGCCTTCTTCCTGATGGCAAGAAAAAGCTCTGAGTTTTTGCCCAAAAAAAATGGTCCAAAACCATAGGGCGTGTGATTTTAACATACGTAATTAATTTTTCATGGCTTTTCGAGGGAAAGATTTGATTGAGAAAGTGCAGTTTCAACAAGCAACAAAGGGTTATTGCCGAGCCGCATTCCAAATCCTGAAGCATAACGAACCAATTAAAAATGAGGAATCAGTAAGGCCTCCAGAGTAATGCCTTACTGTTCAAGAAGTACTAGCCTAGACATATATGGTTGTCACTTGATACTGTTGGAAAATAAAGCTTCATTCACCGCCGTTTGCATGGAGGGGCCATTTGGTTTCCAGAAGGAGCCAGTTGACACTTTGTGCACAAATTCTTTCAAACTAGTCTGAAAATTTGTTTATTGTGAGTGAATTCCTCAATATTTTCTCCGCTAAATTTGACCTTTTTGGCTGCAATTTGACTCGTAGGACATTTCTTGTTTTCGGATGGCTAATAAGTCACTGCAGGGACAATTTGTGGGCCCATTTAAACAAAATTCTTTCCCAGTAAGGGTCAGGCATTGCAGAAATGCTGAAAGACTTGAATCTTGGACTAAAAACAATGTCCAGTTTTGCTAAGAAGTAATTTCTTGACGCCCCTTGGACTTTGCACACAACGGCCGAAGTGGAGACAGGATGCAACATAATTCCTGTCTTGAGAGTAATATAATATGGGACACTTTCAAATTTCGTAAATTTGCAGATGGACTGGGAGATCTTCCTCGTCAGCTTTCACGGGTCAGACTTGGTTAAGAAGGACGCCAGTCAGGCCATTTTCTTCAGAAGGTTTGAAAAATTTTTTGCTGTAGTCTGTTTTTAAAGTCATGCACCCCTCCTTCCAGCTTTTCCTTTAAAGTGGAGAATTTTTTTTGATTTGAAATTCCCCACTCCTGAAACACGTTAGGCATGTTAATCTTGTTCCTCAAAAGAATTGTTTATGGAGGTAATCAACTGATAAAAAGAAAGAACGAGATTTGCTGAAGTGGACACTTTAAATCCTCTTTATCTGAGACCCAAATTTTTCGTTAACTGTAAATGTTCAAAAACCTTCCCCTATGAGGCAATGTTGTTTAATGGACAATATTTGAATGTAAGTGTGCTTGTTCTTCTTTTCATTTCAGATTTGCCACAGCATTATAAAATAACTCTTCCAGCCCTGTCGCCCACGATGGAAACAGGTACATTGGTCCGATGGGAAAAGCAGGTAAATATAGATAAATTGGTAACAATTTAAAAAAGGCAATTGTGCAGAAAGATGTGATTGATACAGAAGTTCTGTTATGACACTGGAGAGTGAATTTTTAGTAAGCCAAGTAGTTAGCTACCTACATGTACAGTAGATGGGCCAACTTTCTTTGGATCAGCTAATTGGTTTGCACTGTACCACCTCACCAAACAGCATTATAAATTGACAAAATATGGTACAAAATCTTATCCATCTATACAGCTTGGAATTTCCTTGCATTAACCTCACGACCACTAAGCTTGCAAGGGTCAGCTTGTCAGTTTAAGTGCAGCCTTTCATCAATGTTTTTTTGTGAGGGAAATGTGAAGTTTTGTCCCTCAGTAGACTTATGAATGTTTTTTACAAGCTATTGGGCAACAGTGAGTGAGCAGTGCTTGAAGAGTTGCCTCCGAGGTGAACAAACGTGGGTGATAAAAGAATGAAAATTAAAAAAATGAAAGATAAAAACAGACAGGAAACAGTGAGAGAATTGAAAAAAGAAAGAAAGTGGATGAAAATCACCGAGTTGCTTGAAAAAACCTTGAAAAACAACCCCTTCCACTGTTTGCTGCACCCTCCCATCCCATGGAAAGAGTTCATCCCCTCCCTGACTAAATCCTGGTTACACCCTCGGGGACAAGTCCAGGTGCTGCAGTCTGTTTCTCCCTGAAGTTCCAAGTAAAGCCAGGGTAGAATTTTCATAAGGAGTAGATTGGCGTCATTGTGATTCACGGTTTCTCACCCCTCCAGCCTGGAGATTCCCTGAGTGAAGGGGACCTACTGTGCGAGATTGAGACTGACAAAGCCACCATGGGTTTCGAGACCCCCGAGGAGGGCTACCTAGCACGGACCTTCGTGGAGGCAGGGGCCAAAGATGTCCCCGTAGGAACGGTGAGGAAACGTCGTCCGACCGTGGCTGTCACTTGTGTTGCCCTGTTTGTCCCTTTGACTGACGAAACCTGAATCCCTCTGGATCCGTCAATGCATGTTGTCAAGTAGAGTTTACCTGGATCAAAAACCCAGCCATCATACATTACTCGGGTCTTGGTGTTAAGGTTAAAAGTGTAGGCGCAATGAATTTTTCTTAGACACAATTATCCCGCAATTTTGACTCTTTTACCTTTTTGGTCAATGCACTGAAAAGTCCACTTTTTTAAAGACTTAAAATTGTCGATGCATTCTTGGGCAACCGAGGGGGGTTTTGTCGTGATGTCAGCCTGGGAAGACATCTGTGCATGGGCTTTTATGTTCAAATTGTGAACCCCGAATTTACCTGTTCTAAACATTTCTGAGAAATGGAGTGGTGCCCACTAATTGCTATGCACATAAACGAGAACGAATCAGCATAGAAGAGAAAATTTAGTCCAGCAAAGTGTGCGATTGCAGGTTTTTCTTCTCTGCAAACCAGTGTAACAATAGGTTTTCTTCCTGGGATGACATCACAGTTTTGCTGTCAACATAAAAACCAAAGTGCAGTAAAATACCCTTTGAAATTGTGAAACAAAAGATGAAATCAAATTAACTGAGGGTTTGCATGAAAACAAATTGATTGCAGCTACCCTTTAAAAAGGTCTGGGCAAATATTTGTTTCGTAGACACATTTTTACAATTTTATACTCTTCTTCATTGCATGAAAATGATTTGATATCCATTTGGAACGAAGCATATTCAAAGTTGCACTTTTCAATGTTTCAAACATTTGAAATTGTATTTTCTTTTCTGGACAACAGAGGGTGCTGTTGCTGTGATATCATTCCGGGAAGACACGATTCAGTTTTTCTGTGTAAATTGCAAACTCAAAATTAGGTCAATGAGAACATCCCTGACAAGGAAAATACCAATTGTCACAAAAACCCCAAAGACACCAAAGTACTCATTAAAATTGCAAAAGCAATATTGAAAATAAGGTTTAGTGAAACATAAAGGTGCATAATTTTTTTTTTTACAAAGTCAATATTAAACAACATTGCATTGCACAGTCCCTTTAAGTTTAGGAATGTTCCTGTGATGTCATATACACCTTCTGGCTTACTTTACCAACACTTATGTCTTCTTGGGCTTGCTGTTTCTGTCTAAATGGTCAATAAAATATCTTATTGGAGAGTGTGATTAAATTGTAACATTTCCAGATATTTGAAAGTGATAAATAACATTTACATGTATCTGTCCCATTAGTTGCTGTGTATTATTGTTGAGAACGAATCTGACATTCCCGCCTTCAAAGATTTTGAAGACAGTGGAGAGATCATCGGCTCAACTGCTGAAGAAGAGAAGGTGTGTCTTCTTAAAACAATGTAACCCCAAAGACTTTCAGATCTTATTAGACCTGTGGATGTATACGTAGCAAATCAGGGCAAATGTCGATTTGTTATACGGGAGCAGTAGGGTCAAACGTAAGTTAGATCGGTAACTGTGAAATAGAATTTTAACAGACCCAGGTTCCCATGCTTGGTTTTCATTCCAATTTAATAAATCCAAGCAGTGCTCAATCGTCAAATAGGGAAGGGATTGAGGACTGCTAGGTTATTTTCCATTTTTTTAAAATCTGAATCACAAACTCATTTATTCAGTAGCTTACCAATGCTTTCTTTGCGTTTTATTCTTTTCAGCCTGCGCCGCCTCCACCTCCCCCCAAACCTGCTCCAGCCACGCCTCCTCCCCCATCACCACCATCCCCTCCACCAGCTGCCAAACCCGTGCCACCACCCGTCCCACCGATGCCGAGCCCGGCCCCCGGCCAGCGGGTCTTCGCCAGCCCGTTGGCTAAGAGGTTGGCAGCTGAGAGGGGAATAAACCTCATGGTAAATGACACCTGAGTGCTCTGTCCGAAAGTTGTGGCTGCGGCTTGCATTAACATGTACGCCTACGAAAGCCGCTGGCTAGTGGCAGGAGCCGCTTTCCAAAGACATGTGTTACTTCTAGCCGAAGCCAAATGTTTATAGATTTTGAAGGATTGAGGCAGCAGTCACACCTCCAAACAACACATCCAGGAAATAATGGTTGATTTTTTTAGAGGGTTGAGGCTGTATCCAGTTGTTTTCTTGGAGGCAAGTGAAAAATTGGAAAGGTCTGAAGATTCATCACAGGCAAAAGGGCCCAAGGGGGTTAGGGTTAAAGAAACGCAAAATAATTATCCAAATTCAGTTATTGGTTACAACATGGCAGATTTCTAGACCGCTATCACAATTTATCCAGCGTCAGGGTCGAAACTATTGAAACTCCCCTGCCCTTCATTTCCACTCAGGATGTGACTGGGACTGGACCAGGAGGCCGCGTCAGGAGAACAGACATCGAGTCCTACACACCATCAGCTGTGGCTGCTCCCACACTAGCTGCTATGCCTGGGGCTGTGTACACAGACGTGCCCGTGGGCGAACTCAGACAGGTATGGAGTTTGAGTTCTCGCAAAAAATATGTCGGCCAAACTACATCTTTGTCGATCACGGTAATTCTCACGTGTTAGATGCATGTTAGGTCTTTCAGTAGCAAAAAGGAGGCAGACAGACAGAATCTTAGATGACATACAACGTCGTTTCCCTTTTTTCCTACTTATGTATAAGTTCAAGTAGTAATAGCAATAATTGTCAGTTCTTATATGTCGCATATTACGGAGTGTCTCGATGTGCTTATTATCGTTATCCCTGCATACTGGGCTCACATCATCTGAACTTTCCTGAAACCATCTCAGCTCCCTGGGGAGTATACTAGCCTGATGCTGCCATTTTGGTGCAAACGGCTAAACATCACCGTGCCTCCCCTACCAGGTACCCATTTACTCCTGGGTGGAGAGAGGCACATAGTGGTAAAGTGACTTGCCCAAGATCACAGCATACTGCCACCAGCTGGATTCGAACCCCTGACCCTATGATCGGAAGCTACAAACACTAACCACTAGGCCACATGCCCCACGTATCTGTAGTAGATATTGCCAGGCATTGCCGTCCCAAACTTCTTTATAGCAGGCCTGTGTTTGAACCTTTTAAGGAAAACACTTTTCTGTGGTCCGAGGTGTTTAATTAAAGTTGTCATTGTTCACAATTTTGGTGTTCTTTCCTCAGTTTATTGCCAACAGGGTGACCCAGTCCAAGCAGATGATACCCCACTATTTCTTGACGGTAGAAATAAACATCGAAGAACTTCTCAGGTATGTGCAAAGTCTATAGTATCCTTCCCAACAATTTCAACTAAAGTGCTACAGTTGGGCTGCCCAACTATATGGTCGGCAAATTTCTAGTAAAATATTCTTGACCTTTGCCAAGTTCATGCAGCTTACACCTGACATAATACATCCAAGATTGTCAACCTGGGATGATTTTCATAAAACTCCTTGCTGCAAGCACAAGTTTTTGATATGAACCAAATGAAATTGGCACATACCATGGCTTACACGTATACTGGCACTCCGTTGTAGTTGGGCTGGCCCAGCTGAAGTACTAATCAAGGTACATTGGCACTCTGTGTTGTAGTTGGGCTGGCCCAGCTAAAGTACTACTCAAGGTACATTGGCACTCTGTGTTGTAGTTTGGTTGGCCCAACTGAAGTACTACTCGGGGTACATTTTGTTGGAAGACATATGGTTGGAAAATTGCAAAGATAAAGGGTTCAACTAAGAAATTACCTTGAGCAGGATTCAAGCCTAAGAATTCAAAGTTGAAAGCTTACCGCATTTCCATATCTTCCAGGATCCAGCAGGCAACTTTTAAATAATTGGCCAAGTTTCAGCTAAACACACCTTTGTGGGGCCACTTACTTTTCTAAGGCTTTGGTAAACAAATTTTTTTGTCGCAAACTTCTCAGGATTATAGCCAGACTTTGTAAATATTAGAAATTTGGGGACTAAAAGGCAACTTACAGCTATCTGTTTCCATTTTTGGCCTGATGATTGAAACTTGAATACCCTTCTGAATTTCCTGTATTGAAGAAATCTGTGTTCACTGTTGGGAAAAAAAGAATTAAAAAATGACATATTTTTCCAGGACCATTTAGAATTTCTTTGGACTGTTTACAACTTCTAACCACGTCTCAATAATAACATATCACACTCCAAATTACAACCATTTTTGTGAATTTGCGTGTTTTGTTTGTTCTGCATATGTGTAATTTTGTAAATTTGTTCGTATATGTACTTACCGGGACCCCAATGGAAATAAGTCTGTGTAATTGGCTTTCTTGGGTTATCCCAGAACGAATCAACCGTATCTTGTTTTCTCTGTGTGCAATTGTTGCTTAGTTGATTGATTTCTGAATAAAATAATAATAATAATAATAATAAAATGAATCCAGGTTAAAGGATGATCTGAACCAGACCGTCGCAGCTGACGGCGTAGAGCTCACTGTGAACGACTTTGTGGTCAAGGCAACAGCTCTGGCTAGCCTGAAAGTCCCCGAGGCCAACTCGTCATGGATGGAAGACAGAATCAGACAGTAAGTGTGCGCATGCGACTAAGTCTACTGCTTGTGTCTCATGCTGATTAAATATTCGACAGCTTTTTACCACTTCTGTCCTTAATGCCTGCAATCTGAAAACATATGATTGAAGTTTTATGCAGCGTTATCCAATTGTATGGACAATATCACACCTGATCATTCCGGCTGATCAGAACTGTTCTGATTTTTAAGTTTTTACACTGTTCTGGAAGGCAAAAGAGGGCACTATTTGCAGATAAAGAGGGCACTATTTGCAGATAAAGAGGGCACTATTTGCAGAAAAAGAGGGCACTATTTGCAGAAAAAGAGGGCACTATTTGCAGAAAAAGAGGGCACTATTTGCTACCTGGAAGTGGCAGTTGTAACACAACCAAATGTATACGAATAGCTGCTCTCTTGTATGATTGCTTGTATTGCTCCATGCTCATGAAATAAACGTGCTGATTTCCGACTTTCCAATTTTGGCAGGTATGCTGTGTTACACATGTTCTTTTATTTCATTTCCAGGTACCATCATGTGGATGTCAATGTCACTGTCCAAACAGACAATGGAATGATGACACCGGTCATCTTCAACGTCGACGGAAAGGTCGGTGATTGGCAAGAGAAATTAGTATCCAAACGAAGGCTTTGTACAGCAATTAAACATCAGTATGACTGGGAGAGAAATACCTAGAAGAAAGTGTCTAGCCCGTGTCTTGAGCATTCCTAGCATTGATGAGAGCCATTGGATGGTTGCCAAACCTTGCCTTGCCTCCAGCTTTAGCTTTGTGCTTCAGCTTGATATGTTCAGTCTGTGCACATGATTTGAAATCGCCTATTAAATTTGTACCAATTTTCTGCTCAAGGATATAGATAGATTAAATATTATATCTAGTGGTCACATAGTCTAATATCAATATAAATCCCAATCTAGATTGTTTTCATTTAGTATCGGGGCAGATTTTTTTTGAAAAACTATTCTTGAGGTTAGTGAAGCTGAACCCGGAGATAGAGCCACGATACAAGGTAGTCAGTCCACAAGAAAAAAAATTGGTTGTTTTCATTGAATCATGTTTGATGTTTGTGTTTGCCCACGTTTCTGTGTCACTTCACAGGGTATTGGTGCCATCAACAGAGAAGCGAGAGAGTTGGCATCACGAGCCGTGGAAGGAACATTGCAACCCCAGGAATATCAAGTAAGAATCACATCCAGTATTCAATTATTGGCCTCTCTATCTGCGAAAAAAGGTGGTGCAAATTCTGACAAGTAACCCCAAGGACAAAGTTTGTATGAAATTCATAACCATTTTGAGCTTGAGAAAAATTACAATCAGACTGACTTGTTTTTAGGCCTGCATTCCACTTCACAACCATCTTCGTATTAAAAGTTAACTTTTAATAACTACTATTAACGCGTCTTACCCCAACCCTACTCTTAACACCCCTTACCCCAACCCTACTCTTAACACCCCTTACCCCAAGCCTACTCATAACACCCCTTACCCCATTCCTACTCTTAACACCCCTTACCCCAACCCCAC